AGAAATTTGGGGAAAGAAGTGATGGAAAAAACGCCCCAGTCTGGACCTGAATAAGAAAGCAGAATAGAGGTAAGAAACCCATCCAACAAACTATTACAGTAATCTGGGGCATCAGCCAATTGTTTTGTGGTCTCCTAGGCCAAGAATCATTGGATCTGGTGGACATTCTTAAGATGGAAACAACAGACTTTCTCCCCATTTTCTCAATGAATAGCTTAATAATGAACATAGAGAATCCACCAGAACTCAAGAGTAAATAAAAGGAGACACATAAATGAATCTTGAAGAACCCCAATACATATTGGTGTTTTTCAAAAAAACAAGTAATAAGATTCTTCATAAAAAAAAAGGAAGTAATAAGATCATTCCAACGAACAGAAAATATGCAATCCAAAACAGAAAATATCCAACCCAACCTGAAAAGACAACTGTTGTGCCAATGGCAGAAAGAATTTAGTGGTTCAAGATGTCCAAGGCTGCTCTAAGACAAACATGGATAATAGATGGTTAGCCTTGGCCACCAACAGGTCATTTAAAACCCAAGTCATTACAAGACTCAGTTGAATAATCTATACAGAAATCTGAATGAAAGAAGCCTGCAAAACTACTATAAGCAAAATATAGAACAAGAAAGATTTTACAAAGAAATATAACAAGGAACATACAAAACCATCAAGAGAGACTGAAAAAAAAGATGAAAGGAAGTATATTCTAGGAATTATGGCAGATTGCTTCTCAGTAATGAGCATTTCACCATCTGAATGAGAAAAGATATGAAAAAAGAAAGAGGAACATACAAAGGAAGGCGGGAAAAGGATGGGGAGACACAAATATATGGAGCTAGCAATATTGTCTTAGATGCCACTTCATCTTAGATCACACACTTCGTGAGATGCAAAAAGAAAATAATTCATAATTGAGTGTCTGTGTACTTCAATCCTGAGAACTGCCGTACTAGACAATATAGAGTACCCATTTTTTTCTAAACAGTAAATTGAAATGATAAAGCTTAGAAATGTGTTTTCAGGAACAAATCAGTCACAATAGTACATAATTGGGTTTGTGATGCTCCTGACAATAAGAAAAGGGAATGATGTGCCACTCCTGAGAGGCCTTTGCAAAGCTTTGGATCTTCTACAGACTCCCTGTTCATAGTTTTCTTATTAATGGGGGATTTCATCATGGTCTTTGTTATATCACACCTTCCAGTGCTGGCCAAAGCGCTTTGCTGCCAAGAGTGAGGGGCCAAATATTCCCTCTTATCTGTGCTTCCTGGAGCAGGTGGGTCGGATTAAGTAAACAAAGTGTACATTGGTTGCAGTTCTAGATATTATAGAAAAGGATTATAACTGTATTACAGAGCATCCGCTTAGCCCATATAAGTTTTATTTATTTATTATATTATTAGGTCACCTTTTAGGAAAAAAATTCCAAAGACAGCCCACAGAGGAAGAATATTAATATAGCCAGGTTAGCTGAGTGGTTCAGAACAAGAAAAAAGAGGGAGGCAGACAAGAAACAATGTTTTAAAATAGAGAGAAGGTTGATGAAGAGAGCATAAATCTTCTCTTTGAAGGAAGGATTAAGAAAAGGTAGAAGAGGAAGTGGAAAGAAACCAAGAAAAGGAAAACAGTTAAAAGGAAGAAGTCAGAATCCCACCCAGGTCAAAAGAGAGAGAACTAGAATGACTCTACAAGCCATAGCAATGACTACAGAATAGGCCCCAACACAGAATCAGCCCTGGCTTTAAAACCAAGTTTCCCTGAAATCTTATAATTATCCTTTTCTCCTAGGAAATTGAACTCTTCTATGTATGTTTAATCCCTTGTATATTTGTACATTCATTTCTTTTGTAATGTAAATACAATCATTTTCATTCATTGCTGTGTTTAAATTGTTTTTATATTTACAGTGAATGTTCAGTACCCCCTTCCCAGTCCTGGGAGGAAAAGGTCTTGGAGCTCTATTAATGGAACTATGCACTTAATAAAGGATACATAAATTAAGCAATAGAATCAATAATTAAAACACACCCAACAATAATAAAATCAGCTATAGTTTCAGAGCAATATAATCAAACAGCAAAACAGAGCAATAAAACAGAGAAAATCCTGAATCAGGTTTTAGGGCTTGATGGCTCCTGACAATTCCAGCTGGGTATCCATTCCTTAGGAGCGGGCCCACTGTGAAATAAGCCTTCTCCCTGGTGGTTCATTAGGCTAACAACTCTCAAAGGAAAGCAACTCTCAAAGGAAAGCAAGAGACAAAAGCTTCTGTTTGAGATATAAGGTGCAGGTAGGTTGATATGAACGAAGATAGTGTTCCAAGTAATTAGGTCCTAAAGGCTTCAATGGTCAAATCCAGCATTCTGGACTGGACTTGGACGTGTGCTGGTAACCATGCAGTTGACACAATAAAGTCACTAGAGTACTCTCATATTCTGCACGGGCTGCAATTCCAAACCATCTTTAAAGGCAGTTTTACACAGAATGCAATAATCCAGCCTGGATAAGACCCAGGGAGGTCCCTGATGTAAGATCAGTGCAGATAGAAAACAGCTGTCATACTGGCTAAGTTGATAAAAAGCCATCTTGGAGACCAGCCAGGTGAGCTTCTCCAATTAATGACTTGTCCAAACAGATTCCCAAATCATACACAACGTTACAGTGCAGTGCAAACCTCTGGGTATGCCCATTTTCCTGGTTCTTAAGAAGTGACAAATACAACCTTTCAGTCTGGATTCTTGTGTTTTCAGACTGAGTTTAACAACTCAAGAGTGGTGGCAGACTATATTCCTTTGGAGATGCAGTGGCCCTCTGCACTTCCCATGGCACCTCTAGCTTTGCTGGATTAAGTATCAATCTGTTCATGCCCATCCATCCTAAAGAGACTCCACAATGGTTCAACTGCTATTTCCAGCTTAAAAGGACCACATAACAAGTGGGATCACTTTGAGACTATAGAAGGCTACTCCTTTTTCAAGTAGATAGTGATGGAGGTGGTTTGACCTAGTATAAGGAAACATCTTATTTTTCTGTCTAAAAGATTAATGTTACATCCGTTTTACAACAGTGAGCCAATGTATAATTGCCTTCATTCTGTGTTCAGTCCAAATGTTCTTTTTTTCCAGAAATGAACTCCAAGGAAAATAATTCTGTAGCTAGGCATAAACAATGCAAATTGGCCATGAAGCCTCTTTCCATGTCTCTGTTTTGCAGTTTAAAAGATCCATTATTAATTTATGAATAAAGAAATTAAAATTAGTATGGTACTTTTTAAAAAACTCCTGAATGACAACTGGGAGTAAGACTCAGAGAGTAACCAGTTTTGGATTCACTGTTATGCACATCAGACATTGAAGCTGTCATTGCTTTTTCTATGAAGTTTGTCTTCACCATAGTCACTCTGAGTTTGTTTGAATCATGGCTGATTATGTTGTGATTTATTTGAAAGACAATATTTGATCATTTTGTTTTCTTTATAATTAGCAGCCTTTCTTTTTCTTATTCCTATTTGCCTGATGCAATGTATCTAACAGAACCTTATAATATATCCTTACAATAAAAGTTGAGGTTAAGGGGAGGACAAACATTGCTTTTTCCAAATGTGTGTCTGAGATTTCTACAGTTTTGAGCTATACCAGCACTTTTTGAACCATTAGTCAACCAATATGCATACAATTGTTGACATGCAAACTTATACACATAAACGTACCCCTAAGATTTGCATTAAATAATTCAAAGGCAAAATATTTTAGAAGCAATTGGAAGCCATCAGCCTTGTTCCCAGTTTTTTCAATAAAAAGGCTGCATTGAAGTGTCTTCTAGATAAAGTTATAAAATAATTGGGTTCTGAAGGAAAGTGAATTTTGAGCAGTCCTATTGGTTCTATCATCAGTGTGAAAGGTCACCATGATAACAGGGCAAAATTATCATTTGTGAAATGAGGAACAGCTAGCACACAAGATAATACCTTTGGGTACTAATTTGTCAGTTAGCAAAGAACAATGTGGACATAGAATCTGCATTTTAAAGGCCAAGTTAGATGTTTATCTCAGCAATATCTGTTCTCAATCCCTAACTGTTAAGGAAACAGAGATACTGTCTGGATGAAAGCTGTGTTGCGTGTGGAACGCGACTCTAAAATGTTCCACAAAAAGCACCCTCCCACTGTTTAGTCCACAAGCAAAATAAAGAGCTGTGAATTCCAAAGTTCCCCTATAATATCCAATTTGGCCCTAATTTTAGTAATGGATTTCATAGGAAATGGAAATGTCACTTATATCCTTGCTAGAATTTAACACATTCCCATATTGAGGCATAAGTCTTGTGTACATTTTCTCAGTTAGCATTCATCCCTTTGACAAAACTAAAATAAATAAAATGCTTATCAGAGGACATATTGTTTAGTACTCAAAAGTTAGATTCTGAGAAATAAATGCAGTAATAATTTTTAGCAGCTGAGAAAGAGTATATGTGATAGTTACAAAAGCTCTGTGTGTTTGTGTGAGAAAGAAAGAAAGAAAGAAAGAAAGAAAGAAAGAAAGAAAGAAAGAAAGAAAGAAAAGAAAGAAAGAAAGAAAGAAAGAAAGAAAGAAAGAAAGAAAGAAAG